TTATCAATATTAATAATTATGAATCTATTCATAAAAAATTAATATTAATTTAATCATTTTTTACTGACTAACTCAGGTTTATCGAGCATTTAGACACCTTTCATTTTGTACATCTCTTTGATTTTTTTCCTGTTTTGAAGATGCAATGCAAGCTTATATTTAGCTTCTTAGAATCCTTCAAGATTTTAGCTCATTGTTTCCATTTTTTAATGTCTCAATATTTTTTTTTCTAACAAATTAATTTGAATTAATTAATTATTTGCCAATAAACAAAATTCATTAAGTTTTTAAATGATTATTTTTTGTTAAAATCTGATGTAAATTAATTAAATCATCTCTAAAAATAATATTTGAAATATTAAAATTTCAAAAAATACGCATTAAATAATATTAGATCATTTTATGAATAAGATTTAAATATCCCAACTTGCCATCATCTCAATCACAAAATATTGCAAAATGACATAATAAATAAAGTTAGCATACTAACACGTAAGATAAAGCAAGAATGAAAGAAAGAAAACAAAAAAACAATTCATAGCTTTAATAATACAATGAAGTAAAGAAGCTTACAACTTAAGCTGTTAGCTATTATTGCAGTAATTTGGTATCTATTTTGTTTACTAGTTTAAGCTAAATAATATTTATCATTAATATTTTTCTATGTTTTCTTAATAGTAAAAATATGAATAAATGGCACAATAATTTTAAAGTAGCAAAACCAAAATATAATTTAAAACATAGATCATTAAATAAATGAAGCTTAGATGTCAAAATTTTTGTAAATTCTGCTCTAAAATACAATAAAATTTAGAACTATAAATATATAATAACATTTTTGTGCCTACTTTCTAAACTAGAACTTATTAAAAGACCCTTTTCTTTTATAAATAAAATTTAAATATGGTCAAGGCATTATCTTATTTTTTAATATTGAGAGCCAATCAACAAAGCAAATATGTAATTGTTGAAATAAATACAATAACAAATGTATATAGACAAA